CACTTTGTCTCCAGAGTTTCTGTAATAGTCTCTATCTGCTCCAACAATGCCAGTAGCTTCTTCTCTCCACTTTCATTGTATTTTAAACTTACTGTTCTTTGCACCATTTCATAATTTTTCATTTATGTCTTTCTCCCACTGGACCAACTTCTGTAAAAACAAAGCACCTGTGTTATTTATCTTTGCATTCCCCATCCCGATACTGAGTACACCTGAAACTTGTCAGAAGTGTTTGCTGAATTAATGCATAAATAAATGATTACTAGAAACATTACAGAATTAGCCAGAGTTCCTCTTTGGGGAAAACTTTATGTATGCACAAACCCATGCCAAACACTCACTCATTCACTCAGACTGCCTTTGGAATTTACCCAGGAAGGGCTCTTCTAGGGTTAGTTCAGGACCATTACCACTGGCTATGACGGTGAACTGACCTTTCCAGCCCACCTGGAAAAGCGCAGTATTCTGTCCCTCTAAATCATTCAAATAACAGCTTCTTAAGGAGGTCTTCATCTTGACAATTTCTATTTTATTCCTTAATTAACTATCTTTCTTTGTTTAACTGAAAGTTTGCTTTGATACAGACTTACTTGAGATATGAAGGGTGAATTAACCGAAGTTGTGTAGAGCAGGATGGCCTCGCACACAGGGAGCAGGCTTCCGTCTGGTGCTTTGTGTGCTCTGTGACCTCCTGGACTTCTGGTCATTCTCAGTTGGGACTGCTGTTGCTGGTATAGACTCTCAGGGGAGCAGGAAAACAGCCCCAGGTCCACCGTTGAGGCCCTAGGCTTCTCCTGCCTTCTATGAGAAATCTTACAGTGAATTCATGAATGTTTCATCAGCTCTTAAAAAGAAATATCCTTGTAGCACAGCAGACTATTCTCTATTACAGTTCAGTTCTGGATTCTGATAGACACTCAGCTTTCGAGGCTCAAGGTGCTGGGGAGGAAGTAGTTCTGAGGTGGATTACTTGCCTAGAAAGCATGAGAGCCCATGTTTAATCCCCAGCACTATAAGAACAATGAAATACTTCTTACAATACACTTAATTGTGTTATTTACAAAAAATGAGTGGAATGGAAAAGATGAGATAATACTTGATATTTAGATTTTTAAAATTAATTATAACAGGAAGTTACTTTGTGGTTAATAAACAGATTAATAGCATACTTTATAAGAGTCTATAGAATTCTTATAATAGTCTATTAGAATTTTCCCATTTGTGAAAGGAGTTTTCAAGGTATCTAATTTCCAAGTTTTAAGTTTCTGAATTTATACACACATATATAGCCATATGTATTATTATTGCTAAAATAACAATTCCCCAGCTATTTTGTCTCATTAAATATATATTCAGGAAGTTGAGGGACACCTTCTAAATGTTCTTTTGACTTTGTGGCCTCTCATATTTGCTTAAAATTCTGATTCTAAGCTTAACTCAAACCTAGATTGTAAGTTCCAGGAATAGATGGGTTGTCATCTTTGAATGAAAGAAAGTAATGTTTGAGAGATGTTTTCTATCAAAAGATTCAACTCAGGAAGTATTTGTTGAAAGCATCTTTCTGCATGATGCTCATCTGGATATTTCCATAGATTCCATTGACGTTGTGTATTGCATAATCCCTAGAAGAAAAGGAAAAACACCTAAATATATCTTGGTGGTGCATCTGTGGTTTACAGTATTTTATTGCTTACACTAAAACACTGTTAACTCAAGTATTAACAGTTCAAGACAGGATAGAGATCCTTTTAAGGACATTAGTGGCAGGGCTAAGAAGCCACTTTTCACATGCGAAGTAGGTTTTTTCCTTTTACTGACTGCCTAATTATGGATGGTGATGTTCTGAGCATAGTTTGCATAGCCAGTCATAAGTGCTTTGGGATAACACCTATAGGGAGGTAGGGGAGAAAGGAGGTGAAACGGGTACGACTTATCCAAGGTAAGCTGTTACAAAGGGCCAGGATGCTGCAAATTAGTGTCGTATTAGTGTTCACTGAGACATCAAGTCCCACAAAATTGACTTCAAACTTCAGTCTTCCTAGATAAGTCCTTTATTCCCCAAATCTTGGTTCATCTGAGAAAAAACATTCCAAGTTTAACGTAGGATTTGCCCATTCATTTTACAGTTGATTTGTTCAGGAAAAGAGAGAAGTAACAAGACAAAGAGCATTGGGCATATGTCCTAAAACATACGCCAATCTTACATTTTCGTACTGTGCACTGTGAATAAATTTTCCGATTTCCAGAAGCATTTCTTGTGAGTCCTAGATGCCTTCTGTACAGCTAATTAAGAGTTTTGTAGTTAACACACGCTGTGGAGGGAAAGGAAACGAACAGTGCTGAGCTGCCAGTAGAGGTGATATGAGCTGTTCCTCAGAAAAAGTAGAAATTAGTGAAGCAGGAAAATAAGAAAAATATGCTGACTCTGGCCCAGCTTGAGCATGAGAGACACCGGGCCCAGAGCTGATTGGGAGAACCAATAGTGTGGAGTAAGGCGTGTTGGATGTTTCTCTGTACAACAACCAGATGCTAAAAATCCTCTGTGATGTCTATCAGGCTGCAAGAGATTAAAACTTCCCATTCATGATGAACTCCATATTTTAAGTGAAGAAATAAATTGAAGCTGACTGTTTGGTTTTGCTAGAGGTGGAGAGAAGGCTACAACAGCCAAAGCAGATTTCAAATGTTAATCACCTGTGGCATAGTAGTTAACTTAGAATAATATTGAAATGTTTTCACATCTGACATTCTCCACAAACCTGTCTCCTTTTATGTGTATGCATGGCAGTATATAAATTGCTGAATCCATGTCAGTTGTAAAGTAATGGCACTAAGGGCATCATAAATTACCATGGTGATCCTCAGGAGAAGACACTGTCGTGTCTGAATGAGTGTTTCACTTCCAGAGTAATGTATGCCTTCATCTGGCCCAGCAGTCAGCATATTGCCCTGTGTTGATGGATATTGTCAGCTGGAAGCTACACTACATTTCACTGCACAATAAACATGGCTGTCAAACCCATATAAAGTGAAATCAATTTATCCTGTATGGTCAGTGCATTTTAAATGAAATTAATGTACTGTGGGTATGGTGGCAAAAAGGTAGCGTATTAGTTATGCATCTTGGGATCTGAGACTTCTCGTGTAAGACATCATTCTGTCTAGGCCTAAGAGAAGGGCTGTTTATGAAATATGTTATTTCTGCATGGTCTTAAGAAAGTGATTTCTCTGCCCATCTTCATATTTTGGAAACAAAACCCCCACAATATTAGTTAATTCTATCCTTTTATCCCATCATTATATAGCAATAAATGATGACCATATTTGCCAAATAATAGTGTCCTTTAATGTTCTAATTTGTCACTGGCTTTGACATCAACAAATTTCTTTTTAATCGAGGTATCTGGAAAAAGAATAGAAGGGCCAGAGATTGATTGGGTCTTGTTGTTTTTGTGTTACTTCACTGAGCTGACAGGATTCACTTTATCCAGAAAATACAAATGTTGCCTTTAATGTATATTTTGCTTCTAAACTTCTGGGGGTAGGCTTTCTTGTTTGTGCACTGGAAGCATTGGCTGAGACCATCAGTTCAATCACTTCCCATACTGCTGTAAAAAATTTCAATCTATAGGGAAATATTCAGAGTTGCTACAAGGCAAAGTATATATCAGTGTCATGCCAGTAGAGGCCGTGAAAACGAGGAAGGATACATTCATTTATTCACTAAGTACATTTTAGTAATTAAAATTCCATGTGCCAGATACTTCACTGGAACCAAGGAATTTGGCAGCCTATAAGGTTCAGCCCATGCTCTGTCCTCAAAGAGCTTTAAATCTACTATCGCCCTAGATCGGAAATAGTTTCATGGGGGTTAAAAAAATTCTCTTAAAAACAGAAAAATGTATCAGGACCTTTGAAATGAATATCTTTAGTCTACTATTACTTTTTTACATGGGATGAAAATCAAATAATCTTGTACTTAATGTGTATTTACTATCTATTATCTGGGAAGTCTTGGTCATCTAGGATGAGTGCAAGATAGTGTCTGACTTTAGGCATTGCATATTCCCGAGAATGGAGAAAGATAAGAGGTAGGCAGTCACATGAATACTAATTATGCCGGGACATGGACTCAGAAAACAATAAGGAACTTGGGAAAAAGCATTGCAAACGCTGTTTGTTTAACTTGAATTGCTTTCCCGTCTGTCTTTACGCCCTTCTCCTCCTCACTAGCTGATTTCTGTTCATCTTTGAGCCTCGGCTGGGACACCCCATCTCCTAGGAAGCATTAGTTGGCCAGCCTGTCAGGTGTTCTCTTGGCACCCTGGTAACTTCAGTACTGTGGCACTTACCCCTCTGCTATTAGAGTGGTCTGTCTCCTTTATAAGTGAGCTCTTGTGGACCTTTGCACACCTAGCACTAGGTGGTAGACCTAGCTCATCATAACTGCTCAGCTAAAATATTTCATTGAATTCATTCATTCATTCACAAAGCATGCCAACATTTGAGGAGGGCCTGAAGGATTAGTAGGACTTAATGAAACGTCTTAGGAAAACATTCTTCCAAGCCACAAAAGGGGCACCGGATGAGGCATGATACTGTGAAAAAGAATTCTGTTTTGGGGAAATGTATAGTTTGAAGTGCCTGTTTTGGGGGCAAATAAAGCTAAAGTGACAGGTAAGAGCACCTTCTGAATTACAGCAGGAAAGTTTACCATGAAATAATACCAGCCATTATTTTATCACCACCTAGAACTTATTGTTGTGAATACAGCAGGTGTATAAAGACGTCCAGCACTAATTCTTCCCAGTGTCTTTTTGAAGAAAAAGAACGATGTAGAATGGTCATCTGAAACTCTCCTCTGCTTTTAAGAGGTCACTTAGAACATAAAAGAGGGGCCTTGGGAAAGCGGTGGAGCCTGTCAGGCAGCAAGCTGTTGTGACATTGTCCACATAATAATGTTTTATACCCATCTTCTTCTTCCTGCCCTGACATTACAGGAAGTAAAGCAATGAATGGCTCTGCAGCTAAACTACAGCAGTATTATTGTTGGCCAACAGGAGGTGCCACTGTGGCTGAAGCTCGAGTCTACAGGGACGCTCGCGGCCGGGCCAGCAGTGAGCCACACATCAAGCGACCAATGAATGCGTTCATGGTTTGGGCAAAGGACGAGAGGAGGAAAATCCTTCAGGCCTTCCCTGACATGCATAACTCCAACATTAGTAAAATCTTAGGTGAGTGCAATTGGCACAACTGATGCTGACTTTTCCCTCCTAGAGAGCCTCCAGGGTGGAAAGCAGGGGCAGAATGGGACCCCTGAGGGCAGGGCGACTGGGCTTGACCGAAGTCTGCTAAAGCGCCACTAGCTGCCTCTGTCCTCACCGCACCGCACCCCTCACCTGCACCCTACAATTGGACTATTAGGGTGCATTAGCGACTGCTCATTGTTCAGCAGCCATCTCGGCCAAGCTCTGTTGCCTTCTCTTAGTCTTTTTAAATTTGAAGTTGCTGCACCATCTTCAAAACACTCACTGCCCTTATAGTTTTCTGCTCTAGAATTCTTGGGTTCACACGTACCACTGAAAGAATTCATCCAGGACTAGGGGTAAACTCAAAGCGGTATAAAATTCATGAAGTGCAGACAGTACTTCTAATGATAACTTTAAAACTTGTAAAATAAAGCTACATTCACTTTAATAAGATATGACTAGTTCAAATTTCACAGCAGAGCACTGAGCACACAGACCACAGGGCAGAGGCCCGTTTTGTGGTAAATTGCCAGAGTGATTCTCCAGTTTCTCAGGATTAAACTCAAGCCTTGTTCTATTAGTGTAAAGCTTGCCTACTGCAGATTATACAGCTTGGAATTATTGTGCTCAACATATTGAACATATTTTATCCAGCATACAGCCCTGCAGTCAATATGTTTCCTCTTTAAAAAGAAAAAACACAGAAGGCACTGTTCTATTTAAGCTGTCATGATGTGACAAAGTCTCCAAAGGAGCTGTTTAAGAAGCTGAAAAACATTAGAGACTTAAACTGTGGTTTTAATTTTTTAAATGTTTTGTTCAAAAGCAATAAATATTTAACCTGAGTAAATATCACTGATCTGGACACACACAAATACACATATTTTGTCACTATATAAATATAACTTGACTCTAAGACATTTCGAGGCAGTGACCTCTAAGAAAATTTAAAGCACATATTGAATCAAATAGGGATAAAGTGTTACAATGCAGCAGCATTTTCTTCCTTGTTTTCATTTTTACTTTCGAATTTCAAAAGGGACACAATGTTATTTAATTAAGTGGAATTTTATTTTTGGACTTTCAGAGATATGTATAAGGATTTTTTTAAAAATTAAATATCATTTAAACCAAGATGTTTCTAATGTACAGATTATAATTGTTTAAAATTAAGAAAACATTCCAAAAAATCAGGGCTACTCTGGTTTTATAATTTGATATGTAACTTTGCTATCTTTATATTTGTTTCCTGCCAATTTAGTAGCAATGTAAGCTTTCAGATGGACACAGACCTCCTCTGTTTCCCTGTTGGCAGCCATGGAGAATCTGTATTATTGGTGTGCAATCCATAAAAAAAATTATTAGGAATATAGTAAGCATATTCACTAACATGTAGGCTTTTAAGCCCCAGCATTTCGGGAGGACCAGGACTCCTCTGTTACCGTGGGCTGTAAGCTGCTGGGAGCCCACGGAACACAGAGAGACCTATCTCCAGAGCCATTCTGCAGAACTTTTGCACAACAATCAGGAAAGAGCAGGGATGGATGTGCTATTAAAGCAGACCAGGATATTGCTAGCTATGTAGAATATTTGTATAACTTTTCCATTTGTTTATGTATGAAAAATCTCTACTGAAGAATAGCTAACATCTAGTCTGCACAGCTGTTACCGCTTTATTCACCAGTGAGACACAAAAATGCAATTTGATACATGTAAAAAAACACATCCCTCCTTCATCAAGTGTTTAGATCATTCTTTATAAACAATATTAGAGAAGTGAATACTTTTCCTTCTTCCTGTGTAAACCATATTAAAGATTTTTGTACTTGTATTGGTGCAGCTTTGAATGGAAGTTTATAGTACTTAA